GAAGAAGAAGAAGAAGAGGAAGAAGATAGCAGGAGGGGAAGAATGAAAGGGGGGAAATCGGAGGGGGAGACGAACCATGAGAGACTGTGGACTCTGAAAAACAAACTGAGGGTTCTAGAGGGGAGAGGGGTGGGGGGATGGGTTAGCCTGGTGATGGGTATTGAGGAGGGCACGTTCTGCGTGGAGCACTGTGTGTTATACTCAAACAATGAATCATGGAACACTACATCAAAAACTAATGATATAATTTATGGTGGTTAACATAACGTAATAATTAAAAAAAAAGAGAAAGGGGCATAGACCCCATCTCTTGATGGGAGGAGTGGCAGAGAATTTATCACCACTATTCTGCCATAAGTTCTTACATGTTAAAAACTAGTTATTTTTTACAGTAAAAAGTGAGCTCTGGCTTGGTTGGGATAAAGCCAGGCTCTAGCTTCATTGAATATAAAATAATTAGTCATTGATTTTCTTCCTTGGGGTGTTCCTTGGCTGTATTCTACTGTTTTTCAGCATTGTTGCTGCTATGGAAAATGTGACAAGATTCATTCTTTTCCTACTTACAGCCAAATTGGGTTTTGTTTATTTATTTTGCTCTTTTTTCTCTTGGCCGCATTGCCCATAGATGTATATCTGCCTTTATTATAAGGGAAATATGGCCCTCAGATATATTTTACATATGTAATCTTACCTTCTTTAATATATGTCCATGTGTATTGAATATATATTCAAGCTTTTGAATGCATATAAATATATATATTTATATATGTGTATGTGTGTGTGTATATATATACAGACACACACACACACAAAGATTTGTATTTGCAAACTTTTTTTAAAGATTTACTTATTTTGAGAGAGAGAGAGCGTGCGCAGGGCAGGGGGAGCAGAGGGTGAAGGAGAGAGAGAATCTCAAGCAGACTGCCCACTGAGTGGGAAGCCCAACACAGGGCTTGATCTCACAACACTGAGATCCTGACCTGAGCCGAAATCAAGATTCAGATGCTTAACTGAACGAGCCACCCAGGCACCTCTATATCTCAAACTTTTAACCTCTCTTTTATGTTTCCATTATTTTGCTAAATTTTGTCAAGTCTCTTCCTCCTGTGTTTTCCACAAGTCTATTTCTTGGTTCTTATAATGTAACCATCTTTGGTTTTATTTCTCTTCAAGCTCATGTATCTACTCCTTGAGTTCTTGTTTTATGAAGATTGTATTTTGTTTATTTGATTTGTCATTTTTACTTGCTTTGGGTATATATTCTTAAATTTGCAATATTCTTTTCCTTCTTATTCATCAGTATACCTACAGATATCTCATGTTGCTACTGCTGCTGGTAGTTCTCCTTCTCTTCTTCCTCCGCCTCCTTTTCCTTTTCCTTCTCCATTGGTACTTCTCTTGAATAGGTGTGGTGGAGGTTTCTTTACTGACAGAGAAGGAAGAGTCAGCTGGCAATTTGAAGTGTGATCTTATAACTTTACGTTTTTCCTCATTTTGTTTCTACCTAAAGTAGTGAACTTGTTCTAGACTAGTAGTCAAACTTTCTGGCTCATAAGGATGTCAAGCATGTCTAATTTTGGACATGATCCTTTAGATCAGTAGTGTAGATCAGTATAATTTCTGTTACACCTTACATTAACAAGAACTTACTCTGTAAAGATGTTATATCAGAATGCTCAATAAAACTTACATCTTCTCCGGGTCTGCTATTGCCATTCCAAGCAACATGGCATGGGATTTACTCCTCAGGCTGAACCCTCTATTTTGGGAAACCCATGCTCTATCCACCCCGCCCCTCCTTCACAATGATCCCTTATGGGGTTTTGGGTATATTCAATTCTTATTTTCATTGATATTTTGGGTCAATTTCAAAAGGAATAGAGAGGCAAAGATTTTTTACTTCAAAATGCATAACTGGAGGTTAGTGTGCAGTGTTTGTATATAACAGGAGGTTAATTCGCATTATTTGAGCATATGAATCTGATATTTTGAAACTATTTTCAGGGTTGCCTGGGTGGCTCAGTCGGTTAAGCATCTGCCTTCAGCTCAGGTCATGATCTTGGAGTCCTGGGATCCAGCCCTATGTCAGGCTCTCTGCTCAGTGGGGAGCCTGCTTCTCCCTCTCCCTCTGCCTGCTGCTCTGCCTGCTCCTGCTCACTTGCACTCTCTCTCTCTATCAAATAAGAAACAAAATCTTTTTAAAAAAAAAACAATTTTAATTTTGCTTAAATATAAATTTTACAAGTCGACTTTTGTTAGGAAATACCATATAACTAATTTCTATTAAATAATTTAAATGTTTTCATTTATTGCTTTCTTTTTAAATTTATTCTAACATCTTGATTTCTTTCGCTTTTCAGATGCAACAACTGTTCCATGAAAATTATGAACATAATCGGAAGGGTTATATCCAAGACCTTCACAATAGCAAAATCCATGCAGCCATAACACTTCACCCCAACAAAAGGCCTGCCTACCAATACAGGCTTCATAATTACATGCTCAGCCGCAAAATTTCTGAACTTCGCTACCGCACCATCCAGCTCCACCGGGAGAGTGCTTTGATGAGCAAGCTCAGTAACAGCGAAGTGAGTAAAGAGGACCAGCAGCTGGGAGTAATGCCTTCTTTCAACCACTTCCAGCCTCGGGAGAGAGATGAAGTGATAGAATGGGAGTTCCTGACGGGGAAACTCCTTTACTCAGCATCTGAGAACCAGCCTCCTCGACAGAACATCAACAGCATCCTGAGAACAGCACTGGATGACACCGTGCTACAGGTGATGGAGATGATCAATGAAAACGCCAAGAGTAGGGGACGGCTCATTGACTTCAAGGAAATTCAGTATGGCTACCGCAGGGTTGATCCCATGCATGGGGTGGAATACATTTTGGATTTACTCCTCTTGTATAAAAGACACAAGGGGAGGAAACTGACTGTGCCAGTGAGACGTCATGCTTATCTTCAGCAGTTGTTCAGCAAGCCTTTCTTCAGAGAAACTGAAGAGCTAGACGTCAACAGCCTTGTGGAGAGTATTAACAGCGACACTCAGTCATTCTCCTTTATATCTAATTCTTTAAAGATACTATCTTCTTTTCAAGGTGCCAAAGAAATGGGAGGGCACAATGAAAAGAAAATACACATTCTTGTTCCTCTCATTGGAAGGTATGACATTTTCTTGAGATTCATGGACAACTTTGAAAAAACTTGTCTTATTCCAAAGCAGAATGTAAAGCTGGTCATCACCCTTTTCAGTAGGGATTCTGGCCAAGATTCCAACAAGCATATTGAGCTGATAAGAGAGTATCAGAACAACTACCCTAAAGCAGAAATTACCTTGATCCCCATGAAGGGAGAGTTCTCCAGAGGTCTCGGTCTTGAAGTGGCTTCTTCCCAGTTTGACAATGATACTTTGCTGCTATTTTGTGATGTTGACTTGATCTTCAGAGGAGACTTTCTCCAACGGTGTAGAGACAATACAGTTCAGGGACAACAGGTGTACTACCCCATCATCTTTAGCCAGTATGACCCAAAGGTAACCAATGGGGGAAATCCTCCCACTGATGATGACTTTGTCTTCTCAAAGAAGACTGGATTTTGGAGAGACTATGGATATGGAATTACCTGTATTTATAAAAGTGATCTTCTGGGTGCAGGGGGATTTGATACCTCAATACAAGGCTGGGGACTGGAAGATGTAGATCTCTACAATAAAGTTATTCTGTCTGGCTTAAGGCCTTTCAGAAGCCAAGAAGTGGGAGTGGTGCATATTTTCCATGCAGTTCATTGTGACCCTAACTTGGATCCTAAGCAGTATAAGATGTGCTTAGGATCCAAGGCAAGTACTTTTGCCTCAACCATGCAACTGGCTGAACTCTGGTTGGAAAAACATTTGGGTGTCAGGTACAATCGAACTCTCTCCTGACAGTCCGGGCAACACATATTGCCTTTTTAAAGGGGAGTTTACCTCATTGTTGGTTGTTGTTATTTTTATTTTATTATTGTTATTTTTATTATTATAATTATTATTGTTATAATTTTATTTTGTTATCCTGGTCTTAAACTACTCTTGGTTGTCTTCCAAAGGGTGTTTGTTGACCTCAAGCAAGAAGAGTCTGCAGTTCACTGATATTTCAGATTTCTACTGAAGTCAATTATGTATTACTTTTATATATCTTTATTTGAGATTGAGTTAAATCGTGGCAATCAAATGACTTTTGAAACTCATTCATCATGAGAGACAGCTTAGAAGAATGTTCTCTTGAGGCTTAAAGATGCAATATCGACTTTTATTTTATTTGTTACATTCAATGTGATACAACTATTTACTGGTGAAAGGTACCACAAAAGTGCTTTATGCTTCCTATGGGGAAGGGACTCTGTAACATAAACTTGAGTTTTGTAATTTATACAAGGACTTAAATATATAGACAATAATTTTCTTCATCTTTAGAATTTTTAAAGTAAATGAACACTTCCGATTGTATGTTTATTTTTTAAAAAAAGTTTTAAAAATTGAGGAGTTTTGTTCCACAAGCAACCGGTACTGGCTACCCTGGTCTTCTGACAATTATGTACTCCTCACAACTGTCTGCTATAAATGCGAATGAACTTTATTTTCTCAAGGAAATATGATTTAATTAAATATTCATGTACATTTTAGAAGCTTTATGAAACAATGTCCTTCATTTGCTGGCAAGAAGATAAAATATGACAGAACCTGGTTATTTATAATAAAACACAGGTATAACAGTAATCCCTTTTTCAAAAACCCTGAAGAGGTGGTGGTGTTTCCTTTCAGCCGTACCTGATGTATTTCTTAGCGGTCCTACTCACCAAAATGTGCTTGCTACATAGACTGGAAAAGCTAATAAGGGATTATGGGCATACTGTTTGTATTATTATGCTTTAAATCCTGGCCTTCACAACTGATTAAAAAATGAATGGTTTCTTTATTCAATAATTTACATTCCAGGAGAAGCATTCTTCCTCAATCTCTTCAGCTTTGTGATCAAACCGAAGTAAGAACAGGTCAGAAACTGCCTTTAATTTGGGTTAATTTGGGTTTTCATGAAATGTAGCAGACTGTACATACTGTTCTGCACTTTGATTTTCTTTTTTGACACAATAGGACTAAAGTTTGCTTCAAAGTTGATTTGAAAGCTGTTGTCGGAAATCGCCACCATTATTTGGAACTGATTGCCAGGAAATCGCCACCATTATTTGGAACTGATTGCCAGGCATTTGCCTTAGTGATGGGTTTTATACAGGGTAACAGACTCTTTTAGTGAGGACATTTGGGGACCCTCAAAAAAAAATATCATTGCTTAATGTTGTGACAAACGTGATGGCACTGTCCTTGACTATAACATATAATCTTAATGTCAGACTCATTAGAAAGGAATTGATGGCACTTTGCGACGTTAAAAATCTTGACAGGGCCAACAATTCAGAATTGATCTCTGCTCTCCTATTTTCTTGGCCTTCATAAACCTTTGCTTTAATAGCTTATTTTTCCTACATTATGTGGCTTACCTCTTTTAACAGCTTTTTTTTTCCTGAACAGTAAATATATTAACATGCAGTAAGGATAGTCATTTGGGAAGAGCTGTTACAAACTAAGAATTATTAATGATTTCATTAATGAAGAAAAGAAATCAGGGGCTGCTCTTTTCTTTAACTTAAGACAGCTGAAAAACAGCCCGAGTCTTGAGGCAACTACCCAGGGATGAAGTGGCATTCTCTGTAATACTCGTGAAATTATACTAATGAAACAAGGAAATGCAGAGAGCTCATCTGAACTTAATTACATACCTGCATACTGTCCTAAAATTAATGTAAGTTCATTTAAGTTGTATTTTGTACAACTTGTACAAATTTGTGATTTTGCATTAAGCTTTCCTATCATTTTTTTTTTCAGGCACTGCAGTATTTCCTGACTGAAACTTTATTGGAATTATACTAGTGAAATTAAGAGTGTTTTCCTGTCTGTGCAATGTCTATTATTTAAAATCCCTGTAAGGTTGAATGGCAGCACAACATGAATGCAACCTGAAGCATCATAGACGTATCTTCCTGCCATTAGCTTTTTTGGATGCCTGTGGGTGTTCTGTTTAAGTGTCACTCCAGTAATAATTCCATCTTATTGACCATGCTTCTGTCCGCTCACTACCATCCTGTGCATTTTACTTGCATTGTCCTTTTAAATGTAATCCTCACAACAGCTCTCAGAATATTGATATCCTTTTCTTCATTCAACAGATATGGAAACTGAGGCCATGAACGATGAAGTAACATGTCCTGAGTTCACACTCAGCATGCTGTAGTTGAGATTTCAGTTAACTGTTGTCCAAATCGGGAGCACCTGCCTTTCCACTGTAACCCAAGGCTTCTTTGTTGTTGGGGTGTTGTAGAAGACAATGGGCAAAGGTCTAGCTGACCCCGTGAACATGTATGACCCACCTCCGTTCAGCATACTTCTGCTGTATGCCCGTTCTGGGCCGTGCTAAGTTTGCTGATGTTTTGCTCAGTTAGAGCCTCTTCAGGCTTTTAATCAGTCTTGCATCACTTTGCTAGCTCCTTCTGAGTGGCAGTGTGTTGGGGAAAGGTTTCTTCTATCTGCCTGCTCACAAGTCACCGGACATCTGCCAGCAGAAAATACATGCTCAGCGTTCCTGATGCCAGCAGCAGCCCTTATCTTTGTGGCTTCAGCCAGCTGAGTACAGAAGCTGTCCACAATGAGTACCACCATGCAGTTGCTTGACTATTTATGTCATTTGACGCATGCAGACTTGGCATAAAGCAGCTTTGTCAGAGCTATTTCTGAATCTAAGAGTTGAACCCATTGTGCCTAGTGATAGATGGGCAACTGTAGGAATAAAATACCCAAGTGTGTGGACTGCTGGTCCAACCAAGAGAATAAATGCTCACTGGAAAGGTAAACTATAAAGTCCCACTCTTTTTAACATAAGAAATCTGCAGCCCATCTCCAGTCAGCAGTCCCGTTTCTGGGGTGCTCTGGTTTCACATGGTTCCCTTTTCAGATTAGGCCTGGGAACTTCCTTCTTCCAGGAGGGGGACGCAGAAGATGAGGATCCTTTCTAATGGCTTGGATAGCCCAGATGAGAGGCTTGTCTTGCCTCCAGGCGTGGGGAGCTCTCACCTAGGACTGCCTTGTCCTGGAGGGGGGATGGCCTAAGCTAGACTTGGACCTAGAAAGAGACTGGTGTCTTCCCTCTCTCCACCAACAGAAACTATTTTTAAGCAGGTAAAATATACCAAGATGAGCCTCAAAGAGCCAGTAAAATAGCTGTAGCGTTCTCTTGGCCATGGTGAGATTTATATAGGAGAAGGAAGGCATCCACATGCTTGAATTCTGTGGCTGAGTTACCTTTCTTTCCCTACCACATGCTGCTTTCTGATTCACAGCAAGTCTCCTGCAAGTCATGGGAACCTGTGTTCCTACCCCGCGATATCCCTAAGAGGGGACTGCTAATCATCTGGGGAATTGTGTGCTGGAGCTCTCCTTTGTGCTTGTTTACTGAAGGCATCCGTCTTCAGGAAGTAGCCTGTGATTATGGATATTACAAGGCAAATGGGCAACACAGTGTCCTAAGGGACAATAAAGGTATCTGTTACCACTACGTAGTGCTGCTGGCTTGTCTACTTTCCCCATCTCCACGTTTATTAGCATCCTAACCACTGTCGAACCTACAGGACGTGCTGAGTCCAGACGCCTTCTAGATCAAAAGGTGTTGAACAGTAGAAGCAGTAGAGGCAGGAAAAGATGCCCGCAGCCTCGCTCAGGCACCAGAAGCACTGCCAGCCTTTCTTTGACAGATGGTGGGGACGAGGACACTTCCGTGATTCATGCCCCCAGGTGGCGACAGAGTCACATCTGCAGCAAGCTGCAAACCACCTGGCGCGGCAGAAATGCCAGGATTTGCTAGGATAGTTGCCTTCAATTTGACATCCAGCTGTCTGTTTCCCTCTTCCTTTCTCATGTCGGAAGCTGCCAAGGGCTATGCCGTATTTAGAGTTCTGTTCCATGAAGGATTTTATTTCATTCGGATTAAATCGGTATGTGTTTGTCTCTAGGTTGATTTAAAAAGCTGAGAGATTGAGTTTTTCTTCTCCATCATGCACAGGTAGACATTTTTGCTACTCCATTACCAACTTCAGTCATGATAGGATCAATTCTGATGGAATTGGTGAGTCTAAGATTGGAAGGATAAAATTTTATTTTAAATGGACCTATTATATAAAAAGAGAGCCTTCAACAGGGAAAAAAAAAGAAAAGAAGCAGCAGCTTTTCTCTTTTTTTCCTAGAATGCTTGCTCTTACCTGTGATGTTAACCAATTAGCAAATACTTATTGAGAACTTGTTGGGAACAATTCTCTCAAGTGGAAACTCTTAAGACTGAGAATATGCATCACCTGAAAGTAAACCTGTCCCTACACTCAGGCCTCCTATGGAGTTGTTGTCCTTTTTCTGATCAGGTCTTCCCCAGCTCCCATCCCCTAAATTCCCACAAACATCACACTTCTGTATTTTATCCATGTAGGGAGAAGTAGGTGTATATGCCAAATAGAATCTAAGATTTGTGGGTGAATTGCAAATACAGAAATAGGAACCTGCCTTGACTCTTGTGTCTTGATTCTGGCATCAGCCAGATGATGTCAACTTGACATCAGCCAAAAACAGCTCAAGGCCACAAGTTCATATACAAGTGAAAATAAATACCACAACGTAATAGCTCTCTGTGTCTAATCTATCAACTTTCTGTCACCACAATCAGCCTCCAGTTTATGTCCCCTTCCCTCCCATACCCACCAAAGTGGCTCCATCACCTATTTCAAAAAGGAGAATCTTGGTAGGTGGTAAGAAAATGTTAGAGGCATAATACTATGAAAATGGGGAAGTGGGAAAGCCGTACCTTGTGTAGCCTTTGAAATATTTTCTTTTTCACTTGCCTCCTAGTTTTCATGCCATTCTAACATACTGATAACCTACTTTTCTTTTTAATGTTTTTCTTTACTTTCCCTGCCATTGGGTTCTTCTCTGTCTCCCCCACTTATGAACGATTTGATACGAACTATATAAGCTTTAGACTACAAGTTTCTAGTATTGGTTTTGAGAAGTTACAATCATATAAGTCATGAGCTTGAAAGCTGAAGTTAACATAAATTTTTCAACTCTTCTTCATTAGCAACCCTGGTCTATTTAAAGTCTGCTGGAATTCATTTCTCCTCCTTGTTAGCCAATTGGAATCTCAAGGGCAAGGATTTTACAAAACCCCTTGCGTATTTCGACTAGAAACTGAAAGAAGAGAACTTTGAAACTCTTTGATCCCCTCCAAGTGCTTCCCATTTCTCAATTAATCTGTTCAATATTAAATTCAGATTTGTGGTTAAATGGAAAAAACATTGTATCAAAATATTTACTGAGCTAATTATTCAGTTAAAAGAAAGGAGATTTTATGAATAAATCTTAATGTGTAATTTTAGAAATTATTTTGCTTTTGCAAACCAAGTTTACAATGAAATATATCAATTTGCATATATTTTATAGTATTTTTCTGGTAATCTACTATTATATAGAACTTAAGAATATCAAATAATTACATGATTTCTAAAGTTATCAGTATGTTTCCCCAATATCAATAATGTTCATATTTTCATATTCTATGTAAGACAAGCAGAATTCTTTTAAGAAGGCTAAGATGCAGAGAGAGCTCGGAAGGGAAGAAACTTACTGCTCACAATCACCCATCCTTTC